TAATTAATTAAAAATTGAAAATAAATAATGAAGAAAGTGTAAGAAGCAAAATCATTAGTGGAGAATTTACTATTTATAAAAATAATATAAAGTAAATTTTAACGATCGTGATTTTGCATTAATTAATTTGGGATTAATTTATTATATTATGCGAATTTACATTTAGTTAAAAATTACTTTATATCTTTCTACAAATAATAAATTCATCACTGATTTTATTATTTAATTTTGTTTTATACTTCCTTTATTACTTGTTTTTTTTTCATCTCAAAACAATAATATAACGTCTTTGTATCTGTGCTTTATATACATATAAGCAATGATTTATGAGAAGACAAATTTCTCTTTTGCAGTCATTAACAGAAAAATTTTCTCTAATTATCTCCGCTGTGTTCTACATTCTGCGCCTGTAGGAAATTAATCACGTCGAGAGAAAATGCACTTTGGTAAAAATAAATTTCTTGTAAGTCTCACATACATAAGAGGTAAAAAAACTTTTGCGAAGCATGACTTCGCGTCACATTCGTTTCTTTGTTCATTATCGATAGCCGCGACGCGTAAACCCAAAATACGCAGACGCCTCGGATAATAACGGTATAAAATACATTTTCGGAAACAAACGCAAGGGCCAAGCGTCTTTTGTAAGCCGGCGAATAGGTGAAAAGCACGCCGTTCACAATAGACGCCTTTATTTCGCGTGAAAGGAGAAATCGCGATGGTCTTCCAGTTCAGAGGTGCAAGCCCGACAAAACAAAACATTGACCGTTAATTAGCCGCGAACGAGTTATAAGACCGTGTTATAATGCCTGCACGCAAATCGTACAATGGGGCAATGCGTGCACGTACGTGCCCCGGATCGATGACACAAGAAAATCGGCCAAACCGAAGAAACCTGGTATATTAGATACGCGCGCGAACAAAAATCAAGATTTCAAGTATTTTGAGAGAAAATACAATTATCAAAATGTCCTGTGAATTAAATAATTTATTACAGGACACTCAGAGAAATAAATAATCAGACAATTCGTTCAAAAATTAACAAATGGATAATCCGATACTTTTAAGCGGAATTATAAAAAGCCGTTCAAGATTAGAATAATGTCCAATCAATGATAGCCGGATATTACTGATAATTGATCGGCTTTTTAATTATTCCGATTGAAAGTGTCGGATTGACCGTTTGTTAATTTTCGAACGAATTATCCGATCATTTAGACCTGAATTTTTCTCTCAGTGTATAATCTTATTAGAGTAATTTTGCCGGAATCTCGTTCTTAATTAATTTATTAATTAATCTCGTTCTTAATTTTTAAATATGCAGCATTGGATTAGAACGTATTTTACCAACTAAATCTTTTGCCTTGAATTAAAATTCTGGAACAGCTAGTTGGTTACTGAAGGCTACTTTAATGTATATCAACAAAAGTTTTATTCTAGCGTACCTTAAAACATGCCGTGACATACTTTATATCGAGACTAACAATTATAGTATGTATTACGTATTGTAACCTACTTTAATGTACTCTGACTTACCCTCGCCAATAATGTATACTTAGTTCCATTAGCAATGAAATTGATTTGTTAAAATAGTATATTTATTTCGAAAAATGTTCATATACATACAGGCACAGCTCTAACTATAATGTTATTATCATATTATTATTATTGCGTTATTTTAAAATAATAAATATTAAAAAGAAAGTTTATATTTTCATATCATATATAGTTACGTGTATATGTGTGTATACATAATTCATTCAACAATTCTCGCATTTTCCGATTATAATTATATGTACATACTAATTTCAGTTCACCCAGATAATAGCTTTTGATAAAGTAAATATTTCCTCGTCGAGAGATTTGCGAGAAACAATGTAGATTAAATGTTAAGTCGCTTTTCCTTCAATTAGCAACGAATTCTTGCATTTTGAGCATTCTTTTTACCCTATTTATTAAACGTTTTACATTTCAGATTTTTATTTACTCGGAGAGAGAGAGAGAGAGAGAGAGAGAGAGAACGCAATTAAATAATAAAACTGAATAGATTAACATTTTAGTCATTCCAATTTATATTATCAGCCACTTATTTTAGATCTTAAATAACACTTGTTTAATTTAGATTTAATTGATTCGATTATAATTAAATTATATCCAATAGCTTATTTGGAACTCCTGTTAAAGAACATTTAACTCGGTTAAAGTCATTTTTCTCATAATTTTCCCTATCAAAATGGCATTAAATCATAATACACATACGTATAATTTTGCTTCTCACGACTATCACTCCTAAATATCTCGAATAAGTAATTCATTAGATTGCATATATTAAGAACGAGATTAATAAGGCGACGCTGCTGATTGAAAATAGTTCCCTCGTATCTAATACTAATTATATACTTGTCACCCCTTGATTATCTCCAATCCCCGTAACGACGAATTAATATCGGCACGCCGTGACGCACGCGATATTGTATAACGCAATTTATAATACGCGGCATATATCTATTATCAACATTAATTATTCCGCGGGGTAGCTACGACGCACGGTGTGAGTAACTACGACAGTAATTAGCTCAGTAATCCACGGCGTATTCTGTGCAGTTCCACGGAACACAACGGCACGATGCGTCGGAGCGTTGGCAAGTAATTTTGTATGCAACGGGAGACGCGCCGCCGCGCCGCGCCGCGTCGCGCGCCGGCCGAGTCCGCGCCGGAGTCCACAATTTCAATTGGAAATTATAATGGAAATCTACGCCCGGAATTTATTTCGGATCCCCCGCGGGTCGCTAATCCGAGTGAAAGAAATCCGCGTTACAACGACGATCCACAACGCAAACGATGTTTACGTCACGCAAGGAAAAAGGGAGATTTTATCTCTATCGATCGATCGAAAATCTGACGTCATTTCGCTGGAAGAAAACGCAATTTCTCCTCTTCATTCCTCAATTCTTTAGTACGTTCGACGCCGTAACGATCAGCGTAAACCAACATTACAATTACAAAAATACACATGTGACACTGACTATGCAACCGTGTGCATGAAATGCAACCGTCCATATTCAGAGTGTTTGTTAAGTATTATTCAATATTTTAGAAGTTGATTTCTGACATCATTTTATGAAAGAAAATATGACCAAACATATTTTCTTTCATAAAATGTCTCAAGTTCTCTTTTCAGAGATACAAGGTGTTAAAAATTCTATAAAATTATTATTTTTCTTAATAGCTCCTAAACAAAAAAAAGATTTCTTTTTCAAACTCGGGCCAATAAATAAATAGGATATTACTTATATTTTTTACATATATAAAACATGTATCTGAATTTTGCCTAATTGCTTTTGGAGCAAAGAGGTACAACCAACATAGAATAGTTAATTTAACTTAAAGATATACTTGTACCAAATTCGATGTTAACACTTTAAAAAAATTGGAAAAAGCTTTTAAAAAATTAAATTTTCTAAAAGTCATTTTTATTTACGAACTATTAAGAAAAAACGCTAATTTTATAAAATTTGTAACATCTTATATCTGTGAGGTCTTTAAGACCATATGTTCACATGAACTTTTCTTCGTGAAAGAACCTCAAAAATCAAGAATTTTTAAAATATTGAACAATACTTGAGAACCGCCTCCGTATAAAATACTATATTGCGAACATAAAGCGAATCAGAAAGTAAAGTCTCGAGCACATTTATAAAAAGATTCACGTTTTTACTTATCGTACAAGCCTCTTAGAAGTCAAACCAATTCCAAAAAATATAAAAGAGAAAACCGACGAAGCTAAGTTATAATTACATGCTTTGATATTAAAATTAAAAAATTTATAAAAGGCGAAAACGCGATCAGTTTAATTTCTTAAGGCTTATATAATTGCATGCCCAATACAATTTTTAGCTTTATTTCTGTAGGGTCTACTGAAAACTTCTACCAAGTACTCTCACCATAAAAAATCGCAATAAGATATGTATCAAAATTAATTGCTACTTAGATGCTAATTTAATGCTCTGTTCCTGATTTTAACGTATCAAGTCGTTTAGCAGAAATTCGCGTTTGAGTGGGGATGCTAGATATCAAGCTAGCACCTCCAATCCTAAATACGTACAAAAATAAAAAAGTAAATACCACAAAATTAAGTGCTCTTTAAGTGCTTTCAGGAACAATTGACCGAATTGAGTTAACTGTTACAATTTAAAAGATACAAACTAAAAAATTCTGGTACATATGTTATTCCGATTTTTTATAGTGGAAGTGCTAACTTGACAGAGGTCTATTAAAATTCGTGTTAAGCGCGCTAAATGCGCTGCTATTTGAAAGTATCCCATCAAGTGTTCAAACACCGAATATTCCAAGCAATAAGACGCGTGTATACGGCTGTCGAAGCGCGGGATCCTGGAATTCACATTGATCCGTCCGTCTTGACTTTCGCGCTCGCCCCAACATATACACACACATTCATATATACACGTTCGTAGCGTGGCACGTTCAATATGAATAATGGATTCAAATCAAACCAGCCGTTTAGCGTGAAAGCGTGTGCCGCGGATTCGCGTCTGTTTGCATATGCGGATTTAATCTGCGTAATTTGTGTAAGTCGCCTTCCGATCGCTCTCTCGTGCGCGCGGCTGAAAGCGCGCGCGTGACGGAAGATGCAATTATTGAATAACAGGCAAAATGGCAGCGGAGGAGAGAGAAAAAGAGAGAGAGAGAGAGAAAGATAGAGAGAGGGAGAGAGCAATCGCTTTATCGCCGGTTGTACTCTCTCGGCTTTAACATGTTGCAGCAGCAACAACGAACACGGTGCGCTACGGCGGAAATAACGCTCGACTTAACTTACAAGAGACACGCCACCGTTTTCCAACGGGGGCGTCCCGCCGTCGCGGCCCCTCGTCGATGTGTACTCGATTACCTCGATAACGGGGGCACCTCGACGAATAAAACGACGATCGATTTCGACGACCAATTTACTAACGGATCCCAACCTGTCTCTCTTGCCGTTTCAGGTGACAAGATGGCAGCGATACAGCGCCGCAAGACGTCGGCAGCGAAGAGGAATCTGGCGGGGGTGCTGGTACCGGCGGTACTCGTCGTAGCGAGCGTCGTTTTAGCGCGATAAGCGTTTCACTTCGAAATGTCCATAACTATTACGTCATTACTTCCGTTTGTGATAGATAGGATATTACCCTCCCCATCCCCCGGGACTTTACGGTCCGCGTCTGCCTGCCTACCCCCTCCCTCCTTTTTCACCTCTTCACTCACCCCTAGGCTCACATCCTCTCTCTCTCTCTCTCCCAACCATCCCTCGCGGGGTCTTCTTTCCTCCCCCGAACCTAGGTTCCCGTCTTCCGTTCCATCTTCCAACCACCCTTCCTCCACCCTTCTCTCTCTCGCTCGTCCCTCCTATTCCTTATTTACTTTAGTCGAGGTTGCCGCCGGCTGGACTACTTAGATATGCGAGATTTTCGTGGAAGATTGCGCGATTGCCTGCTCCAAGTCATTACGCGCGACGCGCATGCGACTCGAATTATGTAAATACTGCCCGGGTCGAATACGCCACGACGAGGCGGATTACGTTAGGCCAGGCCTGTCCAACTTCCGGGCACCGCTTGGTCGTCCGTTCTCGACTATACAGGCCAGATTTCAGGCCGGTCGGATGGAAAATTCACGCGGTCAATGTAAACGAATCGATCGTGTTGCTAACAAGGTGAGGCTATATTTCTCGGAAATCGGAAATAATTGATGAACGGGTTGAAAAGAGTACAGATTTCCGTTGCGTATACATGTGCGAGAACGATACAAGAGGAGAAGTTTGGGATACAGTTGCTATAGACACCGCGTTTCCTTCAAGAATATGTTACACCATTTACAAATGCACAGTTGTCACCCTCACAATTTTAATTCTTGGACTTATTTTTCTTTCGAAATAATCGATTTAAAAAAAAAATGACCAAATAGTATATATGAATCGGGGAATGTGTCGCTCAAGTGATTTTAAACAGAAACTGCCATTTGGTACAGGGTCAGAACAGTTACAATAATAAAATCCTAAATGTTTGAAGATAATTTGGATTCAAGAAAACGAGTGATTGAATTCTTTGTTTATTTCGAAAAAATAACATTCGGCTCAAGGATTTTGACTGTCTTTGAATAAATCGCATAGCAATTATATAAAATTCGCAATAATGAAACTGGTCGGTATGTACGTTATTGTAGGTAAACTAGGAGTGTAGATGACTTTTCGAGTTACTTTCAATGCAATATATTTACATCATGATTAAATAATATAGTGAACAATAATAGATTAATCTGACAGCATTAATCATACGTATTTTTGCGACGAATTGATGCCGCAAGTTAATTCGGAATTATGTATTTAAAATCAAATCAATTTTGCATCGATACTCTACAATTTTATTTCAAGTTGCAATAAAAAAGAAGCATTTGCTCGTAAGACCTTTACTCGTCTCGTTAAGAGCAATAACTTCGCGGATATTTCGAATCAATCCGAATACCGATACGACCTCTTTCTGCCTGAATCTGCTTGAATAACGCGAAGTCTGGGAAATTTTCTCTTGAGATACACAAGCAAAGAAGAATAAAAAGGGCGTATACTTACACTTGGAAATACCAAGTCAAAACGGGAAAATTCAAGCGTCGACGCTTTGAACGCGAACGCGAAGCGTGGCATCTCTCCGCTCGCGCCACAATCTTACGCGTTTTTCGTTTCTATAAAAATTGTTATGAAAAATTGTTCGCTTTACAAGCGAGAGCGCGCAAGGGGTCTGCGGGTATCGCAGAAGTCGCCCGCTCTTGCGACGTTGTGACGGCGTTGTCACGAGATGGAGATCGCACCGTCGCGTCGCACGAAAACGCGTTTATTGCACGACACCGCGGCGTCGTGCAAGAGTTTATTGCACGCGGCACAAACGCGAACAAAGCGCGGTACGTACGCGGCTGCAATTCCCGAGTGGTGAATCGAGCGCGCCTCCACGGTACCGTCATTAAAGGCCATCATTAAGGCGTCTCGCGGCCACGTTGTTACTGATTTTACTACTGAATGGATTCGCCGCTACATTCGAGTAGACATCGGGAATAAGATTGAGGAAGCATTCTTTTGCGTTGTAATTTATTACAAAATATTCTCTTTTTCAATAAAATCGTATAGTTTCACGGATATTTTTTACCTATCGATACCGATATACTGAGTGATTTTGATAAAAAGTAGTTCACCACGTATTTCTCGAAAACAGTCAGAGATAAGGAAAGACATCCATTAGCAAAATTATAGGACAAATAGGGATACATAGTTTAGAGACCTTGTCTAAATAAATAAATGTTTTATTCCCGTAAACGTACAAACGAAATAATTGAGCTCGCAAACATGTAGGCACGTTAATGGGGCAATTTATCTTGACGATCTGAGTCACGGGTAGACTTCCCATTTGCACGAGGTTGTGACGCGTTCATACCCTCTGAACGGTGGCAGACACGTGGTAAAATGTCTAATTTTACCAACGCCGCTTTTTCGACGATTATTTGTTCAAAACAAACGTTATATTTTTGTATTTATTTTTCAAACAACTTTGATGTGTGCTGCATAAAAAATATAGGTCTATTTAATAAATTAAAGCGGGAGCCAGAGAATCTCTGCAAATAAAAATTCTACAAAAAACTGCAATTAGTAGTCCCTTTATCCAATTTATCTCAGTGAAAACGGCATCTCAATATCTTCAACGGTTCAGAATAGGTATGTTAACATTTACATGACTTACCCTGTATACAATATATAAAAGTAAATAATTTTTATGTATCTATAGCAAAATTATTTTATAATAATAATTTACAATAAAGATAATTGTTTTCATTTTGCAATAATTGATAATTAAGATAGTTGTTATTATAAAACATTATTGTAAAATTACTTCGCTATATGACAACAAAAATTATTTATTTTTATACAAGAATTAAAAGCGGAATTACATTGGTATCGAAAGAGCGTCTCCATATCCATTGCCGAATGTTATTTTATACATACGATAATCGCAAATTTTGTCATTTTTGTGAAATATGCGCGTGACTGTTGTACATCCTACATAAAATGAATTAAAAAATCAGCATATCGGCTAAATATTGAACAATCGACATTGTGCATGTTGCAACGATAGATCGAGCCACGTAGCTCTGATCTTAAAAAAATTGCAAATATTACATCGTCTAATCATTGAACATGCTCAGTTCCTCTCAATGTCCTCGCTTTTTTACGTTTATTCTCTGACTCATTCATTATTAGAGTTCTGACCTACATAAAAATAATTGACATTATTACACACAAATATCTCGGTATGATCTTGATAGCAGCATCGTAAAATCATCACGACACGATTAAATTCAGCGGCTGATGAATAAATGAACTGATCTCTTATTCTAAATGATCTCGATTTCACAAAATTAGCGCGTATTTGTTCCCGTTCTCCACTATGCATCATTGAGAGGCACGCTTACCCGAATCGGTTACCGAATTGCGGCATCGTTATTGGGCGTAAATAAGAACCCACCAGTTGGACAGGCCTATAATACGTGGGCTCATCGAGCAACGCTGGCGGAAACGTTTCGTGCGGAATCCCCCCGCCCCTCCCCACCCCCCGGCGTTACTTTCGAGGGGCCCACGAAACCATCACGTAGCATCGTTTTCTCTCGCCCGAAACACTGTACACATCGGATACGCGTAGCGATTAAGGCAATTCAACGGTTCTTTCTGTATATCCTAATTTAAGGTGAGACACACGCGCGCGCGGAGATACAAAAAAAAAAGGAAAAAAGACACAGAAAAAAGAAAACGTAGGAAAAGTAGGATAAACGGTATTTTGTCGGGAATCGAATCCTTGCTCCCATCTTCGTTTGTATACTTATGCGTTATTCAGACGACATGTCTCGGGAAATATTTCCTGAAAAACGTCTCGCTCCTTCCGCGCGCGGAAGACGGATACACGTCAAGGGGAAACTCGCAGGTGGAAATTCGGGAACATATGCGCGACGTTCGTGCCGTTTAATCCTTGAGGGACTACAGTATACGTGAGATTCAGCCGCGATGAAATCTTGGCGGCACGGCGTGTCGGAAACTTAAACGAGTAAAAAAGGTATATATGAAGGGTATACGCGAGGATGACGCGTGCAACTGGGATCGTGGAGAGCGAGCCCGAAGTCTCTCTTTGAGATTCTTCTTAGGCGCGAAATCACGTCTAATGGAAATCTTACGGGATTTATGACGCTCGAGAACCGCGCCCCTGCACCGCATCGTTGGGGAAAGTCACGTATATATGTCGCATCGCCGATATTATGTCTTCGAGCGCGGCCTGTGTATGCGACGCATCTGTATCACGACATAGCGATTTATTGTAGTAAAATACACGATATGCGATAAAGAAAAAAAGAAAGAAAAGCATTCCTGTACAGCTAGACTTCCATTCATCCGAAACACGACCGGCGGGATCTGCCGCCGCCCAGCATCGACGGAAACGTCCATCGGATAAATTGCACGTGTACCACACGTTTTCAATCCGCAAGTCTGTAACGTCTGAGATTAAATCGACGTCGGCATCGAGTATCTGACGCTAATTCGGAGCACGAAAGTTAGGAGAGGTACGTATTTTCATTTCTAGAATCGTAATATAATTATTATCCTTTTGTAGAATATTTAATAGAAATATGAATAGTTGATTCACACGGCAAATTGAAGAGCAAAAATAGGGTTTTAATTATCATTGTTCACGAAACTTCTAATCAGATTTCCTTGCCGTTATTAAGGTACTTTATACAATAAACTCATCACTTTTCTTTGGAACTGTCCAAATCCCTTTCCTCGAAAGCGGTTAATAGTTTTACGAGGCAATTGATCATACTCTAATGGCTCGTAATAGTTCCCCGCGATAGAAACAATAGCGTAATATTTCACAAGCTCGCGTTCAACAATTCGTTCTAAATTTATCCGCGTTTAATAATAATAAGCGCGCAAATAAATATAACGTGCATACCGCAGTAATTTTCAGCAAGCCAGTCGGGCGTAACGTGAAACACATTACATAGATTCGTATGCATGAAAGTCCGTATGAGCCGTGCGTAGAATTCGTGGAATTCCTATCTGCATCCCGTAAATCTAAAATTTTAATGAAGTTACTCCACGAGATAGAAAAGTAGAAAAGGAAAAAAAAATCCCTTTTCGAATAATGTCTTCGTATGAATGTCGCGAAATTCAAACTCGACCCACATCGCGTTCCGTGCCGGCTTTACTTTATTCGTCATTACATGAGTAATACATCTCGTCGAAGGATTTTTACCCCCCGATTTACGCTACGAAAAACAGTCGTATTCGTTAAATGTTTGTTCTACCTCGCGACATCTCAATCTCCCCAGCGATATTTATAAAACTGTCGTCCTGACGTCGAAATATACAAATAGCTCCCGCTCTCTCTCTCTTTCTCTCCTTCACTCTGATCGGATCCCATTATGCGTTATTAATAGAAATATGCAGAACGCGCGATGTCAATTCCACCACCGGAATTCTCCGCGGAACGATATTGCGAGGGATCCCTGTCACCGTTGTCAAATCGCTCGCTTCCTTTGATAACTTTTGATCGCCTGTTCGTGATAAATTTACGGCTACAGCTTTATCGCTTCGCGTTATTTGAAATTCAAGCAGTCTGCAAAGCGCGGTTACCGAATCCAACAAATTTCGCGAGAGCCCCTCCAACAGCTCCCCAATCGCTACCTCACGATCACCTCGTTACTGTAAGTTAATAGCTCCTTTACGTGTACCTGAATCGTCCTTCCAGAACCAAGTATCCATTCACGCGCGTTACAAAACACGCACATGAATGTATATATTCTACGTTGATTTATATTCCTATTTACTGTAATATATGGCATGATTTTATTATTAATAATCCTTTTCAAACATCAGCTTCAATGTTTCAAAAAGGTCGATTCGAAATTGTAGTATTAGAAAGTAAATGTTCGATTATTTTTATTTTTAGAAATATTTTTTCTATTTATTTTTGGAATAAATTGCGGTATTACAGGTAATTTTTTTATTTCGCACGTGACTTATTTCGAGTTTATTATTACGGTATAAATTTGTCATTACGTTATTTCTATTATGTATACAGTTGATTGTAGGAATAGACTTTCCAATTATGATCAGTTATCGATATGCCGCTACTCCAGATAGATAAATTCAATTCTGTCGACATACATATTCAATATTAATCCTATAGAATATCTGTGATTGCGAACAAAATATATCCCCGTTTTACAGTATTGTTTGAATTATTTTCTATAATAGGTTCCAGAGTTATCTCTTTTATTCGCACTATAAATTCCCAGAAAAAAATCTGTTTATATTAAACTAATAATAGTAAACATATTCAACTAAAATTAACAAATAACTATAACATTTTTTAATAATACAGTATACAGTATTCTAGCAAACTAACGCAGTGTAAAATTGGAAGTTTCAACGCAAAGCAAAATGCGGTCAGTTTTTTGGCGCTATACGGAGGAAAAATCCAGACCTCTTAGCGATAAATTATTCATCACAGAGTTTTAGTTAATAAAACAGCAACTTTTTATCTCAACTTTTTTCACCTCTGTCGAAAAGCCAGAGAGAGGGGGAGAGAAAGAGGGAGAGAGAGAGAGAGAGAGAGACGAGAATAGCACATCATTCCACCTACGATGCTCGCGCTTTCAGTAAAGATTCAAGCGGTCCCGGGGCTAATGGACCGATAACGTGCACGCGTGTATTTATTTATATTCACGCGCCGAATCGAAATTCCTATCTACGAGTATTTCGATGTCGAATACCGGCTGATGAAGTTATCGAAATAGCGTGGCGCGATACGCCGTAATGAGAACAATGCGGCGCTCCTCGAATATTTACCAACCCCACGGAATTCTGCAATAGCGGCACGGCCGGCCGTCACGCTGAAGCGACTACTACGCGAATTCCACGGATTAGCGCGCCGATTCCTCGATTAATTTAATTAAAAATGAATACCCGATGGAAATAATCCCCCTTCCCCTCCTGCGCCCGCGTCCGCACCCGTGCTCGTGCTTCCTGTACGCTCCCGCCCGCGTTCGCGCCTGCGGCCGCGGCCGCGCACGCTCGGCGAAATCTCGTTCGCCCTCGTAAAAGTCGTAGCTCGTACGTGCTCGCAATTATATCGGGATTAAACCAATTATTATCGCAAGAGCGACGTTACATACCGTTATCGACTGGCGTTTTCGAATCGCGATATTCATGTTTGTTAATGTTAAAATAAGATCATAAAATTGCTGGAGCAATCTCGCGAGCGTGTACATAATATCACGTCGCAACGCAGCTCATTAGTTTGTTAATATTTTCACTCAAAACCAGCAGAAATATTACTTTTATTACAAATCAGTTACGATTTTATATTCGATAACATTAATAAAAACGATAGTAAGAATTGTTTTATTTAACCTACAGTAGAATATTATTCCGTTAGTATTATTTTACAGAGCACGGAACTTTACTCAAGCACAGCAAAGCCTCTGCAAGGGTACTAATTCTTTAATTTTCTAATTGCACTAAATTCGCTCGTTTTACTCAAGTAAATTTTCGTTCCACTGTGTAATTAGCATAATCATAATGTAGAAGGAAACAGAAAATCTCGCTAAACTCGTTCTCAAGCTTGGCTTTAGCTTGATGCAAGCGATCATAAAACAAATGATTCACGGTTGTTAACTCCTATAATACAGACGTCCTCGCTCACAGAATAAACGATCGATCTTGCCGTATCCCGTCGACGATTATCTTGTAAAGGCTGTAA